ATTATGCAAGCAGTTTTTTTCATAAAAATACACCATTTTTACAACTATTCAATATTAAAACAAACTCGGGAGGCTATTTAGTAAGGGATGTTTCATTTACCACATTTATGCAAAAGGTTTTAGATTTTGTCAAAAAAAATTAAATTCTTTAACATATTTAATGCTAAGTTTAAGTAAGTTCTGTCATACTAACTATTATATTTACAAAAAAATATTTACTTTTTTTAAAGAGAAAAAAAAATTAATATGCATATAAGTGGAACATAATTAAAATCAACAATTAATATGTAGTCTTTCTTATCATCGTGTGAGCTGTAGTAGTAAACTGTACACACTGAGAACCAAACTAAAGGATTCTTATGTGTTTTTTCTTGAGACTTTTAATAAGTCATTGACCCTTTACAAAAGAAGTATATAATTAGATAATCATTATATGACATCCGTTTGGCCAGGCTAGCTTCACCTTCATTTTCACCTATGCCTTGGTCTGCTGGACCGTTGGGGCACCACACAGGATCTGTCGACCTTATTTCTCCATTCTTCTCTGTCATTTGAGTTAGATAAAATTTCATTATGATATTCTTTCTGAAAATATTAAAACCTGCCTTTTTACCTGCCTGGATAGACCACTTCGGGGGCCGATTTGAGTTTTTGTTTCCACACAAACTGTCTTTGTAACCATGTTACAATTCCTTTTATCATCTTGCAAAACTCTTCTTAGGCTAATCCTGGCACCTGAACACGGATTTTGAAAACGGCTCTACAATTTTTTTATTTAAATTTGAAAGCTTATGTATATCTTTGGGAAAAGAATTTCTAACTTAGCGGCCACCAAAGGATTACTCTAGTTTGACCGTTATAATTTTTAAAAATCATTAAAATTAAATATGATCTGCAGATCTAGACGATTTATAACTTGAACACACATCAGTGGAAATTCCCGATTATGATCACTAAAAAGTTAAATAAAGAAATCGACGTTTAGGAACATGTTATCTTATCTTATATAATACAGACGTTACTTCAAAAAAAAAGATGATTACGTCCTACGCGTCATGCATTTAGTCATGCATATTAACCAATGACTTAAATTCTGCCAAGTCACTGGTTTTTCTGGCTAGCTCAGGCAACCCATTCCATGCTCTAATAGCACTAGGGAAGAAGGAGTATTTGTACAAATTTGTCCTAGCATATGGGACGAGGAATGTGCCTTTATTTTTGTGTCTTTCAGAGTATTTTATTAAATTTTGTTTTTGTAGCGCAATATCTGACTCTTATGTAAAAAATCCGCCTAGACTACAGTCTTGTTACAACGTTAATAAACTCCCTCTGTCTGTCTGGTAAAAAGTACATGTACAAAGTATTCCACACACACAAACTCGGATCAAGCTGAAATTTTGAATAATTACTTCTTGTACCTGACAACACAAGAATCAACTTACATAAATAACCAATTAGTTAATTAACTATTGGTAATTAATTCTTTTGTTTTGGTATCTCGAACAAGGGGGAAGAAAGTTGTGGTTCAAGATGAATTAGTCCACTTAATATGTCGTTGTTTGAGTCTCAATTAACTATTGGTAATTAACTCTTTTGTTTTGGTATCTCCAACAAGGGGGAAGAAAGTTGTGGTACAAGATGAATTAGTCCACTTAATATGTCGTTGTTAGAGTCTCAATTAACTATTGGTAATTAACTCTTTTGTTTTGGTATCTCCAACAAGGGGGAAGAAAGCTGTGGCTCAAGATGAATTAGTCCACTTAATATGTCGTTGTTAGAGTCTCAATTAACTATTGGTAATTAACTCTTTTGTTTGGTATCTCCAACAAGGGGGAAGAAAGCTGTGGTTCAAGATGAATTAGTCCACTTAATATGTCGTTGTTTGAGTCTTAGTGAACACAGCATGAAAAATAGGACGAGACTATAGAAACAATAGATCACTATACATAATCTCTCCAATAGCAAAGTGGTTACCGTGTTGGCTTGATAAGCCTGAGAAAAGCTTGAGACATGAGTTTGAAATGAGGGCATTCCCATTCTTTTTATTTCTATAAATGCTTTTTTATTGTTAGTCTTGATCTAATACAAATCTAATTACATGACTGACCCAAACTAATTGATACAAACAGGCTTAATATAAACCTATTTTTTTAATATATATTTTTTAAAATTTTCTTGTTATGTTCTAAATTTGGATCTATATCACCAAAGTAGAATCTTCTATACTATATCTGTAACTACTAACTAGATTCATTAATCTAGTCTGAACTTTTGTTTTTTTTTACTGTTATCATTTCTGGATCAGTATCACCGAACATGCGCCTAATTGTTCAACTTTTGACAATTTATCATTCATAAGTTGCTAATTAATCACTTTTCCAAAATAAATAACTTAAACACAATTAGTTCAAAAGTGAAGTAGCAATAATACGTAAAACTCTGAACATTAAAATTGTAACTACAAAAACACAACGTAATGAACTATTCAAAAAGAAATAACGATAATAGCATATGCTGAGAAACAATTGTACAAGTGCTCCATCCTCCATAGTGTCGTCAGAGGATGGAACGGGTTGCCTGAATCTTGTCGGCATCGAAGGCTCCATTATCTCAATGACCGTAGTAATGGATTTTATCTAATTACTGGAACTGGTCAACCCAAGTCCTGTAAGTTCCACTGTGTCAATTTTTGGGTCGTGCCATATATGTCTCGCACGTCCCCCGTTCCTGGACCCCGCTCGCTACAAGCGTACGGTGGCTACGCAGACCATGGGGAATTTCTACCTTTTCCTATTCTGTAACCGCCCAAATATCGTGCAAGGACCAGCACTCCAGCCGCGGGTCTCTTGAAGGCGTGACAGATTCGTTAGACTAGACCCGGGGTTGTCAACCTGTGGATCGCTACCCCCTTAGGGGTCGATTTACCATTTGCCAGGGGTCGCCTAAGACCATCGAAACTATGGATTGTTATTATCTATTCTTCTATTGCTGTATGTGTGTGTGGGGGGAGTCGCGGCAGAGTGGGGGATTGTAAAAAGGGGTCGCCGAACTTAAAAAGGTTGAGAACCGCTGGACTAGACTGTGGGGTGTTACTTAAACATTTTACTACACCTCTCTACACATGACGTATTTCCCCTTACAATATATATAGCTGTATTTGTGTAGCCTTTCGTTTATTATTTTTTGTACAATTCCTCTATTTATCTAATAAATTCATGGAATTGTGTGGAACATAGGTGCACACGAATATCAAAAAGGGCTTTAACGATTTTTCCTTCAAATTTGACAGTTGATGTATTACTGGCTAATTGGTCACATCGGGAAAATTGTAGTTTGACCGTTATAATTTTCCAAAGTATATTAAAAAAACCTAGTTTAATTTGACTATAGGTCTTGAAAATCTTTATGTTGATAAGACATACGTCAGCGTGTTTAATAAATATAAGATGCTCAAGAATATTTTTCGAACCTTCTTTTCACTCTGGATCTATAAGACTATCATATGAGACTTCGATATACTCTGAGTAGATTTATAAATTCGCTTAACCAGGATTTTGTTTTCTTGGGAAAGAGAAGCTGGAACGGAGTAAAAATGTTTTATTTTTTGTTTAAATCCACCATTCATTAGCTACTAAGAATATAATAATTGCAAATAGACGTCCAAGAATATTTTGCCCGTCTTGTAAGTCTGGATCTATTGTACTTTCATTGGAATTTTTATAAACTCTTTAGATTTATAGGCCTACATTATCTCATGTCATCTTTGCCTGTGGTCACTTCGAAGGCATAGGCCACCAACCAGCTTCCTCCAGGCATCTCGGTTCTGGGCGAGTCTCTCCAACTGTCCCCACGTATTGCCCATCTGCTTGGCACCTGCTTCCAAATCGCGCGCCTCTTTCCTTGGGGGTTCCAGTTTAGGGCTTGCCTTGTTATGTTGGATGCAGACTTGCCAAGGATGTGACCTACATTAACAAAGCCATTAATCTTTTTCGGGGAAGCGATTTGGGAGGGATCAAAAAGGTTTCATTTTTTATTTTTTAAAGATATCCTTAATTAGTTATTAAGAGCAAAATAATCACTCGTACAAAGGTTTTTCAGATGTATAAAGTAACAATTGCTTTTTAAAAAAAATTGTTATAGTTTACTAGCTATTTTAATTTTTTCTTTATCGCTAAATACTTATTATATTAGTGTCTCATTACGCAATTCTTTGACATTTACAGATTTTATACATGTATGAACAGCTCAGATACTTGTACTCTGTACTTAAGTCATCTTGTAAATACAACCTACACAGCGAGTGCAGTGAAATCAGAATCTGCGTTTAAACCATACTGCCCGGCCTATGTGTGCAGATTTAAACAACTATTACCTTTTGAGAGTTTTAGTGGTAGTTCCTATACGCACAAAGTGCTATGTGAACTGAAGAACACCGACCATGTCTGTACTTGTGGGAACACTTCTTTCCTAATTGACTGGCAGAACCAAGAAGAATATTTTAGAAACAGAAACGAGAGTTTTAAGTTTGAAAACAAAACCTTCTGCTCACCATATAAAACAGCAGACGACAATAACTTTGTGGTTGTTGGAATTCTAGTATTCGCAGCATGTGTCGTATCACTTGTACTCATAGTGATTTGTCTGGTTCGATACAGAAACTACATTAACGATATGAAGAAGAAAGTGGTCCAGGATAAAAGTAAAAATATTGAAATCGATTTTGTTGAGAGTGGGAAAGAAAGTCCAAGTCCTAACGAATATTCAGGAGTAAAAGTAAACAAAGTTTACTCGTGCCTGAGGGCGGAAGCGAAAAACTTTCAGCACGACTACGAGTTGTTACCCTTACCAGACGTTCAAAAATCACAGAGCGTTGTGGACGACTGTGTTCTGAAATCATCACTGAATTCGGTAGACATAACAGAAAGCGAAAGCACAATACAGATTACTCCCCTTACGTCTGGAACAACAGGAGTGTACTCGCTAGCCAAAGTTCTGTAAATTATGTAATGATTCTGTGGGCTATGGATTCTTTAATAAGTAAAAATAAAAACAAGTAACCTTTTTTGGGTGTATGTACAGACCGCTACATTTGGACTTTATAGATCAAGAATGTCGTGATAGTAAGAGTGTTTGTTTTGTGACTAGTAGTGTAGTGTGTGTGACTGTGTATGGACAAGCTAGTTGACCTTTATTGTTGGTATTTGGGTGACTGAATAGCTAATAAAATACGTAAAATATGACAGGCCAGCCTTGGATAATTGAAGGCACTAGGGTAGGTGAAGTGAATTTGGTGGCCTCAAATGAAATGAAAATAAAAAGAATGAAAAAGTATTAAAAACCTGGCGGTGTCTATATCTAAATCTACAAATATCTAAAATTAATTTATCTCTATTTCCATAGTAGGGAGACAGAGCTGGTCTAGTAAGCATGGTGCTCTAAAGTTTATTTTTAGTTTTGTTAGGCCCACAACAAATGGAAGCTGTAAGCGCTGCCTAGTTTGCCTAGGCCTAAAGACCGGCTCTGGGTCGGTGAACAACAGACTGCTGAAGGAGACAATTTTTACTAAATGAAATAGAATGTCAGAGTAATAAAGTGCATTGTATATAGTTATTAGGTCATTTTAGTGTGTATTGTACAAGGTATCTAATACATCGTGTCAGATGGACCAACTCCACCAGACGCTGGAATTTAATGGCAAAGTAGATGATTTTATGAAAAGTAAAGGCAGTTGGTCGTTGTGCTGGCCACATGACAGCGTTGTCAACCGTCGGCCACAGAAACAGATGATCTTTGCGTCATCTGCCCTAAATATCGCAAGATCTGAAATGGATACTCTAATATTTTTTTTTAAATTCCTTTTTGCATAAGAACAGACATAATGTTAAAACAAAGTAATGAGCGTAGTGGCAGAACTATTGAATATTCTATGTAGAGTATTAATACCCCTATGGGCGCCAATTAAGGTCCGCTACCCCTGTCAGATTCGCCACCAACCGTCATCTCGGTACGCCCGTGCCTGGCAACAACTCTATCCACTACCTATCGAGGGAAAAAAAAAAAACTACATTAAGACAACAACACTTATGTGTCAACGGTTGTAACAAGGAAGTTCTTTATATCACAAAACCCTTGAGCCAAAACAATGCAAGTACCGTCATTGTGTTCTGATTTGTCTACTGACTACAGATGTAATACGCTTGTTTATCAGCATGTTAATTCAACACGGAAGTGGTCGGGTTAACACACTGGCCTACTTTAGTTTTATACATAATTTTTACTTTAATCATAAAAAGTAATCATAAATACAGTGTACCCTTGAACTTTGTGTGAGACGCTTTCTAAGACATCCCACGAAAGTCAAATTTAATTTTATATACGTACACTATATTTTGTTACAAAGGGTATCCACTAACACTTTAAACTCCTAAATAAAAAAAATTTCCTCTTCCTATACATCTTTCTATTTTCTTTTACAACACTCATGTGATCTGTATGAATTCACAATAGTGTCAGACAGCACTATAGTGTCGCATTACTGTATACAAAATGGTACGAAAAGTAACTAGTATAGGATGGACATTTTTAGTGTTAGAATTAATATTTGACATATTATCACATAGTTGCTAAAATAATGTTTGTGACTTTAATGGAATATTTAAATTAAAAATAAGATAAGATATTTTTTATTAGTCCAATCAAATGCAAATTCAGTTTGACTACAATTGACCACCTGAGCGTAGTTACTGTAACATTAACAATATAGATGTAAAAATAAACAACAGCTCACGGAACTATACGCACTCATAACCAGGGCTTTAAGAACTAGACTTCCATGTATTCCTCGATGACGACAGCTGACCTTGTAATACGAAAGTGGGATAAAGGAGTTTTTAAATTTTTCTGTTTTAGTTCCTAATGCAGCGGTTCTCAACCTTTTAAGCTCGGCGACCCCTTTTTACAATTCCTCACTTTGCCGCGACCCCCCCCCCTTTACACACACACACAGCAATAAAAGAGTAGACAATAACAATCCATATTTTCGATTGTCTTAGGCGACCCCTGGCAAATCGTCAATCGACCCCCAAAGGGGTCGCGAACCACAGGTTGGGAACCCCTGTTCTAATGGAAAGAAAAGACCAGTTCAGATTTGATGTAACAGTGGTTTAATGAGTGCAGGTTGTCTTTGAGAATCGTGTGTGACCATTTATGCAATATTTCTAAAATATCTACATCCGGTGGCCTCGGGAAAACCTGTGGCGTTAAAATCACTTACCTAATCACTCAGTTAATCACTTAGTTAATCACTAAGCAAATCACTTAGTTAATCCCTTAGTTAGTCACTAAGCTAATCACTGAGTTAGTCACTAAGCTAATCACTTAGTTAATCCCTTAGTTAGTCACTAAGCTAATCACTTAGTTAATCCCTTAGTTAGTCACTAAGCTAATCACTTAGTTAATCCCTTACTTAATCACTCTTTTTTCTTGAGGTGGGGAAATGTAAAGGGTTTATAAATATCTGACATTGCCATTTAGTCAGATGTTGGCTGCCCGCCGTTCACATGCACCATTAATACTCTACTTTCTAGATTGGCATGAAGTAGGGAAAGAAAAACAACTCTACCATTATTTTAAATAAATTGCACCTGACATTCTCCTGAGTTATCCCCCTTTCACTGTGCTCACTTATTAGATGTTTTGTAAAATAAATACACTCTACCAACATCGGTGTTAGATAAGATCCTAGAGAGCAAGAGGGAAGTTCAATCTGTAATAGAAAATATTAGTTACTAAGATATGTTTTTTTTAAATTTATTTTGAGGTATACAATAAGATGGTTTAGAAGCTTTTGCGTTCATTTCAACATACACATTCACAAATACATAGGCTCGTGCCCAGAGGACGAAATAGGAAGGCAAAGCCTTTTAAAGGAGGACATAACAAACGAAACTTACCAGGCTTTTAATACATTGGTTATAACATGACAGCAAATCCAAGAGTGTACAACTGCTGTATTAAGTATCACCTTTCTCAGATGAAGTGATTGTTCACAGTAGCTCACCATTTACACAAAATCCAAACACATCCTCATTGTGTAAATTGTGAGAGGAATGGTTCACCCTGAGTGTTGAACATATTTTTTTCCCCTCTTAAGTCCAGTACGTGCTGTTCAAAGCTAGCATTATCTTTACAAACAAATGTTATCATCTTAGTGACACTCGGAGTAATAGATTTGTTTTTTTTTTCAAACTTGCCTCGACTTTACTACTGGCACAAAATAAACCGCACATTAACACTATTCAGGCCGTGCAGTACTATTTTGTACAAGAAGATAGTTATTAATCCTTCATAATATTGTTATAAAGAACTAGCTGCACAGGTAGAGGTCAACGTCTGTGACCCCCAGCGACCCATGCGACAGGTCAGCGTGCGTTCTGGAATTACGCTTGTGTAAACAAGACGGCGTGTGAATACAGCAAGGTATGGCCATGTGATATTCTAGAAAAGACCTCTATGCCATGTGATATTCTAGAAAAGACCTCTATGCCATGTGATATTCTAGAAAAGACCTCTATGCCATGTGATATTCTAGAAAAGACCTCTATGTCATGTGATATTCTAGAAAAGACCTCTATGCCATGTGATATTCTAGAAAAGACCTCTATGCCATGTGATATTCTAGAAAAGACCTCTATGTCATGTGATATTCTAGAAAAGACCTCTATGTCATGTGATATTCTAGAAAAGACCTCTATGTCATGTGATATTCTAGAAAAGACCTCTATGTCATGTGATATTCTAGAAAAGACCTCTATGTCATGTGATATTCTAGAAAAGACCTCTATGATTCTGGACTAGTCTAGGAACTGGGACCCTTATACATGTATGAAACAGAGAAAGAGAAAGAGTGAGAGAAAGAGAGAGAGAGAGAGAGAGAGAGCATGCAAGGACAGTCGTTATACATGAAATCTGCTTGTTGGCGTATATCCCCAGACGGGACCACAGGCAAGTACATTAAGTCAGAAAACAAGACTTAAGTAAAAATCAAATCCAATCTGGATATGAATGTGTTTAATCTCTACTTTGAAACACGTAAACCAGAACAAAACAAAAATAAAAGTCTAGCTAGACTGTTACAGTGCAAATCTATTCCGTTACAATTGTTATAACCGCTACTTAAGACTTTGTTAGAAATGCACTCTACTCATTTTCTTATTTACGCCCCCAATGTATTCTGGTTAAACGCATGACAGCCTCGGAACAACTGTGTGTTTAAACATTTGGGTACGTTTACTTTTTAACTTCTATTTATAGTCGCTTTGAACTTGCAGATTAAATAAAAAAAATCCCCCCCCCCCCCCCCCTTAAATGAGAATGTGCAAATCCGTTATTGACTTTCGTCAATTTTTATCACGACTCAGAATCAAATTAAATGTAGGTCAGGGTCCTCAGAAACACTCTGATCTGATGCTCAATAAACTGTTTAAAAGTTTATGCGGATAGTTTACTGAGACGTGCCTGCTTTGAAGTGACTTTAGAATAACAAGTAGTTTCTAATGGACTTTTGTTATCATGTGCATGCTAAGAATGCTAACGTTTCAGCCAAAATGAAGAATAATATGATGATCATTGAATCTGTGTACACACATATTGAAACCAAATGGCCCTCCCATTACAAAAGCAAAGAGCCCATTAATATAAAATTAAAACAATAGCGGCCGTACACATGGACGAGCTCAAGTTAAATCTTCGGCAATGTTATCTCATTGCATAACAATAAAGTACGAACTGCTGCTGAAAACATGTCTACCAATTCCGTCAAAGCTTTCTTATCTGACTCGCAGAGAAAAGGCCAATATTAAGTCATTCCCGACTAGTCAGTAGACTATGATGAGTTATTTATAGCTTTTATTTATAGCTTTTATATAGCGCTACTTTCATGCTTATAGCACGGTCAGAGCGATATGGTCCAATCTCAGTGGGGGGTGGGGGGGGAAGTATCTGGGAGAAGGTTTTCCTTGATGCCTTAAGCCGCTCAGTAAACGCAACTCTCCTCGAGTCTGGTGTCGAACCTCGAGCCCCCTTCATAGGTAGCTTAGCCAAGGAAAGCTAATCGACCACGCTTCCCATTTGTATAAAGGAGAGTAAAGTCAGTTAAGGATGATTTGCCGTTTGCGTAAACAAAAAAAATATTATTGTGCCCCAATTAAAACTCATACGAATGGTATGAACTATTGTATAGAAACTTTACATCAAACTACTTTCCAGCATTTCATCATACTTGTCTACAAACAACCCACACCAAACATATAATAAGCAAAAGAACATATACTAGACATCATAAATAATATTAAAACTAAAAGCGCTAACCCTGTTTGACTAGTTATGAAGCGTCATTCATCAGTCATTGGCACTTG